TTGGGAGCAAATATGTACTTTCTCTTCATTAGCCAATAATATATTGTTGTTTTTTAAAAAGTAAACAGAAAAAGAAGATGTGCTTTGAGGCTTTATAAATCTGAATACCTTAAATATATAATGAGCTACTGGCTCACCTACAATCAAAGAGCATTCTGAACTCCATCAACGATGGAATTGAATCATAGAATCATAGAGTTGGAGGAGACCTCATGGGCCATCCAGTCCAACCCCCTACCTAGAAGCAGGAAAATCGCATTCAAAGCACCCCCGACAGATGGCCACCCAGCCTCTGTTTAAAAGTTTCCAAAGAATGAGCCTCCACCACACACTGAACTCCCATGACCAACAGAAAATACTGGAAGGGTTTGGTGGGCATTGGCCTTTTGGGAGTTTTAGTTCACCTACATCCAGAGAGCACTGTGGACTCAAACAATGATGGTCTGGACCAAACTTGGCACAAGCACTCAATATGCCCAAATATGAACACAGATGGAGTTTGGGGGAAATAGACCTTGACATTTGGGAGTTGTAGTCACTGGGATTCACAGTTCACCTACAATCAAAGAGCATTCTGAACCCCATGAACGACAGAATTGGCAAACTTCCCACACAGAACCCCCATGACCAACAGAAAATACTTAAGGCCATCCAGTCCGACTCCCTTCATCAGGCAAGAAAAGTAATCAAAGCCCTCCTGACAAAGAGCATCCAGCCATAGAGATAGATAGATGACAAAGAGCCATCCAGCCATAGAGATAGATAGATAGATATGATTCACACACAGATGCAGTATCATAGATTTGAAAGGGACCCTTAAAGAAGGACACTGATATGTTGCATGTTCCAGGGTGGGCAAACCAGACACTCTCCACATCAACACTGACAAAGAAACAGCAAGAAATACTGTTTACCCACAAGCATAAAGAAATTACATATATTAGAAACCAACACTTTCTCATTACTTTATTTTTCAGATCAACAGACTGGGCCACAGCAACACGTGGCAGGGGACAGCTAGTCTTTTTATGTTTTTGAAAAAAAAATCAATTGCTTACTTTTTAGCATTTAAAACACCTAAATTATCATTTGTGAAACCATACTCCTTTAAATATAAAAAGTAGTAGCCAGTACAGAGACACTAAAAAAGGTGTGAAATTATCCACAAATTATAACCATAATGTTACAGGTGTGTATCGCTAGAATTGGAAAAAGGAATGAAGAACTCCAATCTCTAGCTGATGATTTCGTGAATGGAACGAACTACTCTTTTTTTCAGTTTTCAAATCAAGTTTGTTTGTTTAGAAGGGAATTTCTGTGTAGAGAGTGCAAATAAGATGAGGACTAAAATCTTGTGAAACCATGTAGCTGAAAAGATAATGAGTAGACAAAAAGGGGGACTTTTCTGAAGAAATGTAATTCAGGTTACTAGCCATAAGTCAAGTTTGCTTTGCCACTGCTGCTCCACTCAATAGAAAGCACTCCATTGAAATGGCAGTGTTTATTTAATTTTTGCACTATCTAGTACTGAACTGATGACCTCACTTTCAGGTTAGCCAAAATAAAACCAATTCACCTTCTGAGAGCCTTAATTTCATTGGCAACGCTTAACCTTTGGCAAGGCATGTGTACAAACTGTTCCTAAAGGTACACACACAAATTGAAAAATGTGGCTGGAGGTCTTCACACAAGTAAGAAAAGCTTTTATGGAAAGCAGGTTCAGTAAATACTTGAAGCCTACTTATTAACAAAACACTGTAGGGGATGACTGTTCTGTTATTGAAGTGGTTATATTGAAGGCCAGTCAGATTCTTTATTGCTTTGTCCATTGTATGCTTCATGTAGAAGGACTTTGCCACATTACTATCTCATCTTGTACTGGATAGCCAGGAAATATCATATATTTATTGAATAATAAGGATGTACATAATTTTGATGTTGCTGTAGAAACTCCATGTTTGGTGTTGCTATAGGAACTCAAAAAAAGCTCCATGAGGATTGTATTGTTGAAGGCTGTCATGGCTGGAATCACTGGGTTGTTGTAGGCTTTTGGGCTATATGGCCATATTCTAGAAGCATTCTCTCCTGACGTTTCACCTGCATCTATGGCAAGCATCCTCGGATGCTTGCCATAGATGCAGGCAAAATGTCAGGAGAGAATGCTTCTAGAACATGGCCATATAGCCCGAAAAACCTACAACAATCCACGAGGATTCCTTAAATTGATTGTCAGGAAAGTCCCTCACCAAGTTTGAAGGATATATATTTTTATATAATTACATTACAGATATATTAATTAACTTTTATCTGCCCTTGTCTCTGGTACTTGGAGGACATGGAGATCACATGAAGCAGAAGTTCCTAATATGCCTACATGGTCTCCTTCCATGCCATCCCATGATGGCTTTACAGCTGGAACATTGAGCTCTACAATCAACAGGTGAGTTGGTTGGTGCCACGTGTTTGAGTTAATCCTATCATCAGCTTTCACCAATAATGTTGTACCTATCCGACCGCATCTCGACCTACGAGCCCACCAGGACTTTGAGATCTTCCGGGGAGGCCCTGCTCTCGATCCCGCCTGCCTCACAGGCACGGCTGGCGGGGACGAGAGATAGGGCCTTCTCGGTGGTGGCTCCTCGGCTGTGGAACACCCTTCCCGTGGACATCAGACTGGCTCCTTCCCAGATGATATTCCGCAGGAAATTAAAAACTTGGTTGTTCAAGAAGGCGTCTCGAACAAGAAGTGCAATGATTGGTAATGACTATAGGAATGGAACAACGGGAAAGGATACTGGATTGTGGTTTGGACGATGAGACGACGCGAAATGGCTTTTGTAGTAATGATGATGTTTTTGATGATGATGTTTTTGTTAATGCTGGATTGTGGATCATTTTATATTGTGTCTTGAATTTTGAACCTTGTTCTTTCTATGTTGTACACCGCTGTGAGTCGCCCCCGGGCTGAGAACAGCGGTATATAAGCAAAGTAAATAAATAATAGTATTTCTTGTTCCATTTTTATTGATGACATGTGGATTATTCGTGGATGAAGCAATTTTACCCCTGTACATCCAATTACTTTTTAGCATTGTTTTTATTACTGTGAATGATGACAGTAAACATATTAATAGTAAAGATATCACACATGCTCTTGTGGCAATCAAAACTGCAGTCCTTTATTATGAAGTGGTAGGCAAGTTGACATAATTTTGATGTTACTGTAGAAACTAAAAAAAAAGCTCCATGAGGATTCCTTAAATTGATTGTCAGGAAAGTCCCTCAGCAAGTTTGAAGGATAGAGATATATTTTGTTATATAATTACATGACAGATACATTCATTAACTTTGATCTTCCCTTGTCTCTGGTACTTAGAGGGCATGGAGACCATATAAAGCAGAAGCTCCTAATATAGGAAGCCAGGACCAAGAAACACAGAAGTGGATATCTGTTTGTTGTTGTTTATTCGTTCAGTCACTCATGGACCAGCCTACGCCAGAGCTCCCTGTCAGCTGTCACCACCCCCAGCTCCTTCAGAGTCAAGCCAGTCACTTCAAAGATATCATCCATTCATCTTGCCCTTGGTCAGCCCCTCTTCCTTTTTCCCTTCCATTTTCCCCAACATCTTAGTCGTCTCTAAGCTTTCCTGTCTTCTCATGATATGGCCAAAGTACTTCATCTTGGCCTCTACTATCCTTCTCTCCAATGAGCAGTCGGGCTTTATTTCCTGAAGTATGGACTGGTTGGATCTTCTTGCAGTCCATGGCACTCTCAGAACTTTCCTCCAATGCCACAGTTCAAAAGTATCTATCTTCCTTCGCTCAGTCTTCCTTATGGTTATCTGTTTAGGAACTGAGAAAATAACTATATGCATGTCAACGTTTTATCTCCTTGCTTTATTAGTTTTTGAGAGATATAGAAAAATCTTTTGTCCACACTCAGGATACAATCTGAAGAAAATTGACTGAAGTCAATGGCACTTTGAAGGTAGACAAGTCTCAAGAAGCTTAAACCTGATTTAAATGTGGCATCCAGAAAAGCATTTACTTGGGCGGATATTCCATGTGATGACATTATGTTGAAATCTTCACACTCTGTAGTATTTGTAATAAAAACAGAACTGTTGTTTGGGCCACAAAATAATGCCATCTAAATGTTGCACATTTATTTGCTAAGAGTCACTAAAATGCAATATGTGGTATGTGGAACTGCTACATATGGAAATCCTTTTGTGTGGTCTCCAAGAGATATAGATAGGACACTATGAATAAATCACTCCTGAATGAGAGGTATGTGTGCAGAATTATTAAGCATGTTGGATTGGGTCTTGCTCATTTTATGACCTCATTACATTAGGCAATTTTCCCTTTTCTAGATGCTGTTAAATTGAAGTCCTTCAATTGCCATCACATGATGCAAGCCTACTTCCGGTGGTTGCCTGAAGGTCCCCAGCACTTTCATTCAAAAAACACATGTTATTTGGAAATTTGGAACCAGTAATCTGCCAGCTCCAATTGTCTGTATGCGCTTAGATGTGGGAAAAATCATGGTGTTTCCCATGTGAGGGCAACTGGTCTTTTTCTCCATGCCAAGCCAGTTTAAGTCATCAGCTGGTGGGCAAAAAGTGGGCAGTTCCAGCCTTTAACCGTAAATCTCTCGCTGCCACTACTCTCTCGGGTCTATCATTAGTCCCCCCCCCTTATTAAAAGAAGTGTTTTGTATTACAATATCTGGAATCCCCCTCTCATCTTAATTAACCAATACAAGTTCCAAAGTAATTAAGGAATAACTGTAGACCCCTGTTTTAGTAACCAGGTGGCCTGAACATCCGCCACTGGTGCAATGTCATCCTTATTTAGTTCTGTGCCCCACTGGTTCATAACCAAGGACCCTTTATATGGCAATGTAGGGACCTTCCACACAGCCCTATATCCCAGAATATCAAGGCAGAAAATCCCACAATATTTGCTTTGAACTGAGTACGCCCATATTCCCATTTATGCACAGTGGGTGGGTCTTTTAAGGAAGAAAAGGGTGAGGGAAGCGGGATGGGCCGGGAATCCATCAATACGTGTGATGGCAAATGAAGTGGGCGAATCCAGATAAGGAGAACAAATGTGAAGGTAGAGAATTATTTCTCCATTTTATTTAAACATGGGCTAAAAGTGAACACTAATGGCAAGGTCCGAATCAACTCACATTATTTGTCTAATGTGATGAATTCCTTCGAAAGGAAAACAGGCGCTGGCTCTCAGCTTTTAAGCAACAATGTGTAGCAACCTACCTTCCTTCCTTCCTTCCTTCCTTCCTTCTCTGTTTCAGCAATACATTTACTAGCACTTTCTCAATATGTTATTAAAATAAATAAATGAACCAAATAGATTACTTTGATTGATGTGTATTGTCTTTTAATAATGCATGTCAACTCTCTCACTAACAACAGATTGGAAAGCAAATGTTTGGTGATTTTTAGCCACCAGTTTCTGCATAGCTTTGGCTATATGACCTAATTGTCGCTGTTTGATTTGCAACAAGACTGATTAAGTGAGTCCCCTGGGAGACCAGATCCCTTTTGGCTTGGAATGGCGGGTAGGACCCTGCTTGTCCGAAGAGGCTTTGCTGATAGCACTGGCAAGAAGGAGCACAGCAAGTGATTCTGAGACAGTCCTCCTTTGGGTGATTTGGTGGGAAACGCTGGTGAGAGAACCGAGGCGCCAGTCCTTAAGGAGTCTAAAGATAATGGCTTCTGCTCCTTGACACCCTGAGAAACTTCTCTGGGTGATAGCTGAGCTGGAAAAGAGCAAAGAGAGAGAAATCAGAAATAAGCCACGAGATAATGGAGTTTGTCAATGATTAATTTGGGCAATACTGAAGATTTCAGGAAACCCATATACCAAGAACTTAGAAATATTCATTAAATATTTTTTCTAATTAGGATTAGTATGAATGCATTTGTGTAAAAGCTGAAAATGTTAGATTCTGCCCACATTCCTCTTAGGATGAATCTATACTGAAGAATTATGCATTTTGGCACCATTTAACCTGCTGGAACACAATGCTATGGAATCATGGAAGTTGTAGTTTTGCAATATTTAGTTTTCTTTGCCAAAGAGACTCTTCTTCACCAAACTACAACTCCCATGATTCCATAGCATTGAGCCAGGGCTGTTAAAATGGCGTCAAACTACATTAATTCTGTAGTGTAGATGCAACCTAGGTTGCACTGGGTTCTCATCTGCAAAAGCTGTGAACTATATAAACTCCAGTTGTCCCTGTTTCCAAGGACAGAAAAGGAGTTGAAAGGGAACCCAACCAAGTTTCCTATGGGAGAACATTTTAGGAGCTAAGACTTGAGGTACCTCTCTTTTACATCTGTTCTGTGTTCATTTATATGGACATTAAAGCACCATATGGTGTGCATTCACTGTTTTGTATATTACAGCTGGTGGGACTCTTTTTGAACTGTTGGGAATGACAGCATATTATGTGACAAATGTTTACTGTGTAAAATTATGAGACAAGATCCAGGTGGTTGCTATGTTAATTGTCATCCTTGTCTAAGTAACAAATGTCTGTGCAGTGCCTCCCTATTTTGCACAATCGCTTGTTCAATCTGTTAATTGGTTCCAAACGAATTGTCTTCATCATTATGATAACCACGGCGAAGCCTTGTGTTTCCTATGTGATAGCAAATGCTTCTCATATGTGTTTTCTTTGCCTTTCAGAAGCCTCATGTGTTGCAGGATGAGAGGAGAACTATAGCTTGTGGAAGCAGGAAGTCTTACATGACTCCCATATACTATTTTGCGGATCTCACAAACTGTCTTGCTCTGCCCACATTTGAAAATTTATTTATTATTTATTTATTTACTTTGCTTATATACCGCTGTATCTCAAGCCCGAAGCGGTTCACAAACAGTAGAAACAGTAGAAACAGCAGTGGTTCCATACAAAATGCATTTTCTTTTCAAAAGTAAGCCTTTGATGAATGTTTTGAAAATTGAGTGATCTCCACTGTGCTCTGTTCTTAATTTCTGCAATTTTGGTGCTATTTTTGGGGAGTCCCTTCATAGTGATTAAGTCCAAAACCATGTCACCAAAAGCATTTCTGGTCTTTAATTACATTTTTGTTCACTTTTAAAAATGTGATGTTTGAGAGGCAGGGGAACAATGTGTGCACAGGAGCTCTGCAGGTCACAAGATTGCCATTCATGTTTATGACTAACAGATTCATTATAGCAATAGTTTTCATAGACTACAGCCCACTTTATCAGATGTAAGCAATACAGTCTCATAGGTTCAGGAATATATGTCATGCACTTGGTTTTGGGTGAAATTTTGCTTTTGGACATGGAAAGAATATTAGAATTAATGGTCAAAAATGTGTTTCTCAGGTATTGGGGAATCATGATGAGGAGAATCTTGGACAGACAGGAATCTGTCCAAGATTCAGTATTTATTCTGCACAGAATTCCCTCATCTCTCCCCCCCCCCCAAAAAAAAACAATAATTCCCATGTGTCCCACACAGAAAATGCTGTTTTCTCCTCTAAGAAGATCACATTTGAATTCTGGGTAGAACATTTCTTGAACTACATTTCCTGCACAGAAAATTGTATTTCTGTGCAGAAATTAATATTTCAGCACAGATGTATTATTTTCTATACAACAAATGCTTTTTCTTGTACAGATAATGCTGCCTAGTGCCTACTACACAAAAACTCACATGTGAATTTTGCACAATATAAGTCCTGAACTGCAAACAGTCTTTGAGAACTGCGGTTCTTGAAGGCTGTCTTGTACCAGGAACAAAACTGCTAAAATTATTTGTTGCTTCCTTTGGGAATAAAATTAGCAAAGAATGACATCTTGGTTTCCAGTGAAGCCAGCTCTAATTTAGATACAGAAAGTGCTGACAATGAAAGTTACATTATTAATCTTAGTTTGTTGGTAGTGTAGGGTAAAGAGAATGATTGTTAACACATGTTATTTGAAAACACCACCCAACAAAAAAAAAATCTTGGTGTCTTGGTTTTTAGGCCTGTTTTGGGGGTTATTTTTTGGGGGAGGGTTGATTAAGAACATTGCACTGGACAGACCATATGAGCTCTATTTTCTTAGATATAATAATAATAACAAATCAAATAATCAAATAAAAATGCTTATACAATAACATAATAAACCAATAAAGTAGTAACAATAACATAATAAAACAGAGTGTAAAAACAATATAAGAATTTAAACGAGGGTGAGCTGGACCAAGTGTGAGGAGTAAAAATTGTAAAAGCTGCAGGTGAGGTAGATGAACTGCTGTATTTAGTGAGACTTGGGTGGGATAAACAATGAGGTTATTCTCAACTGAGGGATGAGATAAAGTGCATCAGAAAGACAATAGACACTGAGACAGGACCTGACATAGGAATTAGTTATTCATTCTTCAAAGTTCACCGGAAAAGCCACATTTTCCTAAAAGCTGCCAGGGTGCTTGCCTAATCTCCCTGGGGAGAGAGTTCCTGAGCCGAGGGGCAACCATGGAGCAGGCCCTCTCCCTCGTCCCCACAAACTGCGTTTGTAACGGAGGTGGGAGCAATAGGAGGGCCTCCCCCGAAGATCAAAGGGATTGCACAGGTTCATAAGGGGAAATGCGGTCACAAAGGTAGGTGGGTCCTGATCCATTCAGGGCTTTGTAGGTGATAACCTGCACCTTGAATTGGGACTGGAAAATGAATAGCAGCCAATGGATATGGTCATCATCCTATATGGCATATGTTCTGTATCTCAAAAACTAGTGTTGATGGGGGAAACTGGTGCCATTCTGGAAATCAGCAGGGCTGTCTCTATGCAAGAGGATAAATGGACACAACACACAATAGCAAAACCCCAGTGGCGCAATGGGTTAAACGCTTGTGCTGGCAGGACTGAAGACTGACAGGTCAGTGGTTCGATTACAGCTTGTAATCCTTGAAGGAGACATGAGAGTAGTCTCCCACAGGATGGTAAAACATCTGGGCATCCCTGGACAATGTCCTTTCAGATGGTCAATTCTCTCACACCAGAAGTGACTTGCAGTTTCTCAAGTCACTTCTGACATGAATTTTTTTTGATGCGGTTAGAATTTTGGGTCATGTTTTGGACAGTCCTCATCTTGATGGTGTTTATTTCCTTTCTTTTTGGCAACCTTAGCTTTCTTGTTTTAATCCTTAGCTTTGGTTCTTATCTTTCTTTTCACTTCCTTCTTATTCTGAGCATGTATCACCTGTTTGTTTTTCCTCTTGAACAGCTATCCTTGCTTGCCTGCAATTATTGTGAACCCCCCTTGCCTTCTGCGGCTCTTCTTGTTCTGTAAACACATGCACAGCAACCGATAGCAAACACGATCATTTGCTGAGTGTGGCAATTCCAGGCACATTATGTGACCGCTACCCACAGTTGCATAAGCAAGTTCCCTTTACTAGGGAGTAAAAGGCATTTAAATTTGGTTTATATTTGTCTACTGTGCACACAATTTTTTTTACTTCCCTCTTGAAATCAGTGCCAACCTAAACATGAATGCAAACCAAACACTGAATGCAATTACTTGCCTTAGAACCTCTTGGGGATGGAAACAAAGGGAGGGGTTGTGTGTGCAATGCTTTCTATCACTTTCTATCAACTCCTTTCTAAAGCCTCTGGAGGCTTCCATTAGCACTAATGGGGGTTTCCTTTGAAATCCTGATTTTCTTTGGAGAAAATTGATGGGAATGTGTCAAGCAAGTTAGAACTGCGGGTTGTTGTAGGTTTTTCCGGGCTATATGGCCATGTTCTGGAGGCAATTTTTCCCCTGACGTTTCGCCTGCATCTATGGCAAGCATCCTCAGAGGTAATGAGGTTAGAACCTCTTCCTTTCCTCTCATTGGGTTTTAGGTATTCACAGAACAGGTTAAGGTACACCATTTGTGGTGCAGACCAAGTGTTTTGACAAGCAAGATCCATGATTTCTAGTGTTTGAAATGGTGTCTTGGTGCTGCTGCTGCTGATTCAGAACTTGGAATTTTTTTGTTTGTTCTACCAGAGTCTTCCCGGCAGCATCGTCATTGGGAAACATAGTTCAAAAAAGTACTGTTGCATGCTGTTGTTTTTGAACGAGCAGCATTGAGGGTTGGTGTACTGCAGCAATCTCCCCAGAGCTTGTGTAGTCCTGTGGAAGCCTCATAGGAATGAACTTGTTTCCCAATTCTGAGGGCAGAGACCAACTTCTGTCCTCATAATAATAATATTGACAAACATAGCACTTTACTGTTTCCCATAAAAGTAAAATGATAAAGATTCCTTTATGTTAGAAGATATTGTTAAGCTTAGGGATGACCAGGAGTTAAGTCTGTTCCTTGTCTAATCTGTTCCTTTTCAAGCTCCAGGCTTTGAATATGAAGTTTGATCAGCAAAGTTTCATGCTGAGTTTGGTTTCTAGGGTTTTCTTTCATGTCAGAAGTGACTTGAGAAACTGCAAGTCACTTCTGGTGTGAGAGAATTGGCCGTCTGCAGAGATGTTGCCCAGGGAATGCCTGGATGTGTTACCATCCTATGGGAGGCTTCTCTCATGTCCCGACATGGGAAGCTGGAGCTGACACATGGGAGTTCACCCCATCTTGTGGATTCAATCCGCCAACCTTCAGGTCAACAGTTCAGCTGGCACAAGAGTTTAACCCATTGCATCACCACGGCTCCAGATTCTGAGGTGCTTCCAAACTAGAGTTTGGAAACTTTTAAAAAAATTACAAGTCCTCAAGTTCATCAGCCAGCATGGCCTGTATA